TTGCAGTGGATACAGCACTGGGCTTAGAATCAGGAAGACTCATCTTCCCAAGTTCAAATCTGACCTCAAACACTTACTAGCTCTGTGACCCTGACACTTACTAGCTCTGTGACCCTGGACAAGTCACTTAACTCTGTTTTCCTCACTTCCTCATCTATAAAAAGAACTGGAGAAGGAAATGGCAAACCACTTTAGTATATTTGTCAAGAAATCCCCAAATGGGGTCTTCAAGAGTCAGACAAGACTGAAACAACTCAACAATTAAAAAATAATCTTATCCTTAAACCACCCACAACACCCTCTCCTTGACCCCCTCAACTAAGGACTTTACATGATACGAAGAAAATTGAGTCAATTCACTGTGAGCTTCATCTTATGATACTTGGACATCATCTCACACTCTCTGCACTTTTACGTTGATGAAGAGGTTGCCGTTCTCCTTGCCAAGGCTAGCCCCTATACATACATCCTTGATCCTATCTCCTTCTGCAGATTGCTTCCATTATTATTCCTTCTTCAATCTCTCCCTATTTGGTTATGTCTTCAAATATGCCTGTCTCTCCATCCTTAAAAAAACAAAGAAACAAACAAAAAAACCTTCACTAGACCCTATCATGACCCCAAGCTCTCATCTTATACATCTCCTCTTTCTCAAACTCCTTGTACAAGCTGTCTACACTCATTGTCTCTACTTCTTATTCTCTCACCTTCTTCTAATCACTTAATTCACAAATACTCATTAAGAATTTACTCTCTGCCAGGAAAGCACTAGCAGCTGAGAGGTTCGGCAAAGCTTCATGTAGAAGGTAGCATTTGAGCTGAGCCTTGGATTCAACTAGGCAGATGAGAGAAGAGGAGAGGTGGTACAGTGGGATAGAGGTCTGGGACTGGAATCAGGAAGACTTATCTTCCTGAGTTCAAATCTGGCCTGAGACACTAGCTGTGGTGTGATCCTGGGAAAGTCATTTGACCCTGTTGGCCTCAGTTTCCTCATCTGTAAAATGAGCTGGAGAAGGAAATGGCAAACCTTTGCCAAGAAAACCCCAAATGGGGTCACGAAGACGCGGACAGGATTGAAATGATTGAACAACAGCAGAAGAAGGTGTGTCCTAGGAATGGAGGATGGCCTATACAAAGGAACAGAGACAAGAGATAGTGTCATATATGCGGAATGGTGAGAAGTCCAGTTTTGCTGGACTGTGATGCATGTAATAGGGAATAATATGAAATAAAGCTAAAAAAAAAATGGTAACCTGAGGCCAGGTTGTGAAGTGCTTTAAATGCGAAACAGGAATTTACATTTGAATTATCAGGGAGTCCCTGGAGTTTATTAAACAGGGGGAAAGTGGTGGCAACATGGTCAATATTAAGCTTTATGAAAATCATTTTGGTAGCTTCTTGGAAATTGGACTGGTGTGGGAAGAGACTCAAGCCTGGGAGACCAATTAGTTGGCTACTGTGCTAGACCAGGCAAGAAGGGATGAGGGCCTGAACTAGAAGCTATATGAGTGGAAAGCAGGGAATGGATGTGAAGATCTCATAGAGATAAGAAACAGTAAAAATTGGCAACTGATTAGATATGTCAGGCAAGAAAGATTATAGTTCAGGATGATTTTAAAGTTTTGAACCTGAGTGATTAGAAAAATGCATAGTCTCAACAAAAAGAGGGAAATTCAGAAGAGGGTTTCAGAGGAATGATAATGAGTTCTGTGTTGGACCTATGGAATACATTTTTCCATCCAGTTAGAAATTTCTAATAGGCATGTGGACAATCAGGAGAAAGACATGGGCTTTAAATATGGAACTGGTAGTCACTAACACACAAATGGTGATTGAACACACGTGAACTAATGAGAGAGAGAGATATGATTTAGGACGTAGCCTTGGGATATACTCACAGTTAGAGACTGTCACATGGATGATATTCCAACAAGAAAGACTGAGAAGAAACAATTGAACAGGAAGGAAGAGATCCAAGAGAGAGCAGTGTTAGAAAGCCAGAGAGGAGGGGAATTCCAAAAGGGGCAAACAAAAAGATTGTTTAAGCCATGGGATGATAGGAGATTATGATGATCTAAAGGAATTTCAGAGTTCTTAACAATGAAGTGGAATAATTGTGAATGATGGTAAAAATCAAGGCTATGGGTAGCATTCTGGCTCTGCAATCTTGTCTGCGTCATCGTATGAAGGTGATCTCTCTAAAGTCATCAATTTCCTCTGGTTCTTTGAACTGAATGTGGCCTATGCCTTGGATGTGAGCTCCTCCAGGGAATCACTGGATTCCTTTAAGACTGGGCTCCAGTGCTCTCTCCAGCTGCTGGAGTGACTCCCACGTGGCTTACTAGAAGCATCCCACTCCAAGTTACTTTTTATATGTTTTGCATAGATTGTCTCCTTCACTAGACCGCAAACTCCTTGAGGGTAGGGATTATGCCTAGATAGTAGCTGCTTAATAATTCTTTGTTGGTTGATTTGATTAACTTAAAAAAAAAAATAGATTCCAATAGGACTTTTCAGAAACACAAGAGTTACACTGCCCACACAACATAAAAACACCCAGAGGTCAGCCCCGTGACATATCCAAGAACTGCACGGGATGAAAAAAAATATGAATGGGTTACGATCTAAAGAAATAACCACAATGATGATATGGCAGGTGCTGAAATTAGTATCAAGAAGAGCTGCATTCAAATACCGCTTCTGCCACCTATTGGCTTTGTCACATTGGGCAATGCACTAAACTAGTCAAATCTCAGTTTCCTTACCTTTAAAATGGGGATAACAATATGTGATTGTTGTGAGGCTCAAATGAGATATTGCATATCAAGTGCTATAGAATGTCAGCTACTGATTTTGAAGTATTTCAAGGACCTTTGAAGAGATATTTTGGCTTCAGGGGAAGGAAGAGTGTCTTAAGCATCCTTCAGGTCATGCCAAAGCACCAGGGCTGGAGACAGGAAGACCTGAGCTCAAATTCAGCCTCGTACACTTACTTTCTAGTTGTGTGACCATGGGCAAGTCACTTAACCTTTGTCTACCTCAGTTTCTTCATCTGTAAAATGAGGCTAATAATAGCACCTACCTCCCAGGGTTGTTGGAAGTATCAATGAGATAATAAATTGGCACAGTGCCAGGCACATAGAGAGCATTCTATCAATATTAGTTATTATTATTTATCTGCCTAGTCCCTTTTCTTTCTAGAGATTTCTCTGCTTGCCAGGAGTTAAGGAAAGGGAAGAGGCATTTATATAGCACCTACTTTGTGCCAGACACTATGCTAAACACTTTACAAATATCATGTCATTTGATTCTTACAACATCCTTGTGAGGAAGGTGCTGTTATCTCCGTTTTATAATTAAGGAAACTGAGGCAAAAATTAAGTAACTTGTCCAGTGTCACATAGGTACTAAATGTCTGAGGCTGGATTTGAATTCAGGTCTTTCTGATTTCAAGCCCAGCACTCTATCCATTGTACTACCTCGCTCTAGGTAAAGATCAAGCTCGTGACATTTGCAATTCTCACCCCTAGTACTGCTCCAGAAATAGCGTGCTGACTAACCACACTTGTCACTGAAGGTTGTTCCTTTTAAACTTCTCTGGGCTAAATGTCTGAAGGTGTAAAGGATGCGAGGGGTGTGTGTCTGTGTGCAGGTGCATTTGTATACCCTGAACCTCCCAGGTGCTAATGTCCTATATCCCAAACCACCTCGTATTTTCATTTGTACATGGTTTGTTCATACTGACATATGTACGTATTGTCTCCCCAAATGGAACGTGAGCTCTTTGAGGGAAAAGTCTATTTGACTTTTGCTTGTGTCCTCAGTATCAAGCCTGAGTGCACAGGATGAGAAGTGTGAATGGGTTTTGATCTGAGGGAATAACTCTAATATTGATGTAATAAGATGCTGGACAGGTTCAAGAAGACTTGGGATCCAATCCTGCCTCTGATACCGCCTATTGGACCACTTAACTACTCTAAGGCTCAATCTACGTAACTCCTATGATCCACCTTCTCCTCCTGGCACATAGTAGTTGCTTAATTAATGCTACTTGATTTATTCATTTTTTTTTTGTGAGAAGTGATGGGTGTTTTATTCTTTTATTACTCTATAGTTCACGTTTAGAGTGTGGATAAAAACTAAAAATCTTCCTTTAAATACTACCATGAAACTGGCTACATAAGGGGAAATGCAGGTAAGAATCAAGCAAGTACACTATCTTGGCATCATGCATCATGACTCCAAGACCTGGCATCTCCTCAGGTCCCCTGCAGAAGCTATAGCAAAGAGCTCCTTGAAACGTGTCCACTCTTTTTTATGTATTTGAACCATGATCAGAAGAGGTTGCAGAGGTTATGAATTACCCTTTTCTCTAAGACCCATTAAAGGACATGCTGCCTGTCAAGTCAGCTTTCTGAAGAGGACTCAGGGCAAATAGGCACTGAATGTCTCCTTCTAATGTTACCCAAAGACATGATGAGCTCCCAGGGTGAAAAATATTCATTTGAAGCAAGGAAAATGGATTACGATGACATCTGGCAAAGTTCTCTTCCAAGGAAACTAGTAAGTTTTGCTAAATAAAGTGCTTGTATATTATAGCCCCAAGCCACCCCCATCCTAATGACAACAGAAAAGAAGGGAGCCTGGGTAGCGAGCAACATGTGGAGTTGCCAAGGGCAGGCTGCCCATTCCTTCTCACTGATTTGTGCCCATGGTCTGTCCCATGGTACTATCTGACATGTGCACATTTGGCCGTCTGGGAAGGGATGGAATTCAGTGAGCGTTAAAAGAGTCATCATTGGCAGGGGCCAAAAGAGCACTGATTGTTTGTGGGGTTGGCACAGAAGTTCAGCATTTAATTTAATATAATACCACCTCCTTTACCTGACATCCTGGACCAGGCATTTGGCATCAATTGCAGAAAGGAGAAAAGACTGCTTCCCAGCACAATCCACACGGCTGTGATCGGGTTTTTGCAAAAGAGTTAACAAAAGGCCGAGTTGCTTAAAATTGTTTTTACTTCATTTGTGTTTTATTTAACATACAGAGACTTGGTTAAACAAAGATTTCTAAAAACATACAATTAGAATTTTGAATCTTCTTTTAGATTTTGCTATTTGGCACAGGACTAGGTAGACATGTCATAGCTCATTATTACCTTGCTGACAGATTTATCTTAATATATACTAATGTAATATAGAAATTCTAAAACAGAAAGACATATGAGAATATTCTGAAAAGTAAAGATCAAGCAATACTGTATTACAGAGCAATATCAGACACTTATACTTCTTTTTTGACTAATACATAGTACTGAAACATAACTACTAATTTAAAGAGTAGGAACAGAATGATACTGTAAAAAAATTACTTTATTTGTATAATTTCATTCTAGAGTAATTCAATGCATGAGCCACCATATAATTTAAGTTTTGCTCAAATATTAATTAGTATATTTTAAATTTAAATTTTTATTGGCATATATCTGTGAATTTATTAGTATAAAGAACTTCTGATATAGAAATATTCATTCATTGATATAGATAAGTAACTTTTTTTTTTTTTACTTAAAGTCTTTGAGAGTGTTCTGGGGTCCTAAAAATTTCTGACTACCTCAAAAATCACACAACCAGTGTGTGTCAGAGGCAGAATTGGAACCCAGGGTCCCCAACTTGTATGCCAGCTCTGTCACACTGCCTCTAAATATGAAATTTTGGAAGTTATTAAAAATATGTGGATTAAGTTCATTATGAAATAGAAACATGGCTGTAGATCAGAACTTCATACTAACAAGCTCAGAGCTTAAGAACAGAGACTAAACACTTAAAGGGAAACATAGTTGTATCCATTGGTACAGATTTTAGACACCTTTTTCAAGCACGAGTGCAGGATGGCAGTAATGGTGGTAGTTAGCAAACACTTACACTTTGTATCTGTGTGTGTGCCTAGTACAAAGCAGAAGCTAGGTTTTATGTTGGCTGAAAGTACTTAATCCACCTTTTATAACCCTATTTAAAGCTTCCTTTCTTTTCCTTCCATAGTAAAATAACTTGCTTCATTTGTGCTTTATGGAGCTAATTACATTTTTGAAGAAACAGTGTTAAAATTAAATGTAATTTTTAATTATAAAATGTTTCCCCGGCAACAGTTTTCTTGCATGTTAAACTGCACTTTGTTCCAAAATACTTAATTTCACTTACAATTAGGAATTAAAGACAGAGCCCAGCACAGGGTAATTTGGAAACTGGAGCATTAATTGCCAAAGAAAAGTTAATGTTTCTCGACAATGGACAGAATTGACAGAAAACATCTAATTAACCAATGGATAGCTTACGTCTCACAAAACTTTTTCTGAAAAAGAATCATTAGAATTTATGACTATGGGCAGCGTGGCCATCAAGGTTATTATTATTTTGTAACTCTTACTATTATTATTCCTGTTATTTTTATGTAAAGAGATTTAAAAATAATGATCTAATTAGAAAACATATCCACTTCCACTGGTGACTTTCAGTTCACCACAACTGTTAAACTAATCACCTTAACACACTGGATTCACAGCTAAGGGCAAGCCTCTCTTTGGTTCATAAGGTGTTGTCCTGGAAACCATTTTGATGCAGTCAATAATCGGGCAGACACTGAGACACAGAGTACAACCCGTACAACTGTCGTTGACGGTGGGCAGATGGGTGTTGGGATCAAACTGTATAGCCTGCAAAAAAATAAATGGTATTGATGTCATTCTTGGGAAAGGTTAGGCGTGCCCCCCACTTTCCCAATTGCGGTAGTATCATGGCTAGAGAAACCCTTGCCAGAGTTCGGTAGTGTGACTATAGCAACAATTTAGCTGCCAGGAAAAAAGAGAAATGGGGCAGGGGGAGGGAAAGGTGAGGGGGAGGGAAAGAGGGAGGGAGAGAGAGAGAGAGAGAGAGAGAGAGAGAGAGAGAGAGAGAGAGAGAAACCTCTACATTAAAAACATAAAGGTTTAAAATTCCTTAAGGGTATTTTTCTTCTAGTGAGGAAACATTTCTCAGCAACATTGCAGTTCACCAGTTGTGTATGTTCTAAGCAGCAGTCTTCTCAGTTCTGAAGGGTTCTTGTCTCTGGGAGTGTGGCTCTGCTGCTTTTATGTGATTCCCCCTCCCCCTTCTTCCCTCCCTCACCTACCCTTCTATTGTCTTCATAATCTACTGGAAAGAAATAGACATGGGAAACACATTGCTGGGCCACCGGGGCCAGATTTGCTTGGTTGTTTGAGAACATCAGGTACCTACATCGAAAACTGAAGCTTGGACATTTTGAATGTACAGGATGTGGTCTTTTCTATGTTCCCAAACTCTTAAGTTCCGTGATCATTTTCAATATGAAAAATTGTTACAGTTTTTCAATGTAAGAAGAATAGAACTCCCCCCCTCTGATTTAGACTTTTTTTGGGGGGGGGAACAAAAATTAGTTATAAACCAAGTAAATGTATTTCAATAATAGGAGAATGATGTGCCAAATCCTTTGTATGTAAACAATTCAGTGTTTTTGATTTAGTGACTCTAAGGTAATCTTACACGAATAGCAAAGTACCAAAAAGAAGCCACTTGTCATTATATTATCTGTTTACAAAAACATATGGGATCCTTGTTGCTTAATTTTTTTTCTCTTTCAAAATATGTCTGAACCTAGGTTATATGGCACTGAAACTCATTCTTGTAGATACTTTAACCTTTTCTTTAAGATATTTCTTCCATGGAAGTGGTTTCCATATTTTGTAAGGTGAAATTTGTAGTAGGGGATTAAAGAAAGAAAATTTTCCTTCAGTTTTTTTTCCCCTTTTACATAAAAAGAAATCCAAGTGACATCTTTGAAGGGACTAAAAAGATACTTGTGTCTTAGAAATTTTATGCTTTGAAAATTTCAGACACATAAAACCTTACATTGAGTTGAAGATTTAAAAATCTGACATTTAATCCTTTTGAGATGGCAGAGACAAAAGAAGGACTTTCTAAGAAGAGCCAGTTATTTTATGCATGATTTTTATATTTTCTCCATTATTGCGGAGACTCCATTATGTAAGTTAAAGAAAATTCTAGCCTTTGATGAGAACAGAAAATGTCCACATCCAAGGCACAGAACCCTCTATTTTATGACTTTAGTTAGAAGTTTTCTAGGTCTAACCACTTACACATTGGCTAATTAATTCATAATTGTCTGGGACATAATTATTATTATTTAGGCTATCTCCACCAAAAACAAAACAAAACAAAACAAAAACAGACTACAAGTTTTTCAATAAGAGATGAGAAAGTAAAGTATTGGAGTAGAAACTGGGTGACAATAGGATTTTTAGATCAGTTCTAAGGTTGCAAAAACACAGATACACACAAGTCTTAAATTATGATCGTCAGAAACTGGAAAACAACTTGTAGATTTAATCATTATAATTAAATTAGTAATAAGCAAAATAATGCAGGAAGTAAGCGGTGTCTAACCTTTTGTTGTAAAATGACTAAAAAGCACCCTGTAGACGTTACCAGTAGGATATTATTCACTTGCCTAGAAGCGATTTTCCTCAGACAAGTAACATATTTCTAAGATCTTATTTTCCTTTACTCACTGTAGTTATGAGTCCAATTATATTGTAAAACATTTTGTTAATAATCACTATATTTGGGGGCATTTGTTCTAACACCACCAACCCAAACCCAGCCTCTAAAGGAAATTCTGTATCCCATTTAGCCATGCCATACTAGAAAATGAATTTAAAATTTTAAAACAACAACATAGAGATATAAATTCCTCACATTCATATGCAGACTCTATCTGGGGTAAGACATTCTTTTTTTTTTTTCTGGAGAGATAATATTTTAGACCTGTGATTTCATCTATAGGGTAAACTCTCAGTAGGGGAATTCCATCTGCCAAAGGAAATTGGTAACTTCTCTAAGACTACTACATCCTGGGGCATAGGATTATAGATCTAGAGTTTAAAGGAACCCCAGAGTCCATTTACTTCAACTTCCTCATTTTATAGAGGAAGAAACTGAAATTAAGTGACTCGGCTAAGGTCATACAGGTGCTAATTGTCAGGGACGGGATTTGACTCAGGTTCTTTGAACGTTTAGCCAAAGCTGTCTTCTACTGTATCATGTTGCCTCCACTATTGAGAGGTTGTATGACCTGTCCATAGTCACACAGTCAGTATGTGTCAGAAACAAGTATTTCCAAGGCTAGTCTTCTCTATCCATTATACCATGCATCCTTTATCATAACATAGCTGGTATCAAGAATAAAAGGGTTAATTCATATTATTCCTCAATCTTTGCAGATAAAATAGAAGTCTATATAATGCCCCCGAAAGAACAATTAGAGAGTTTCCTGAAGTCGATAGCAACCTGATCCAGAACTGACTACAGGGAGTTAAACAGTTATTTGCTTCACTACATTCCATTCCTTATCTGAAGCCAGTGTCCCCGGGGGCTTTCCTATAGAATTAGCTCTCTGGCAGGGAGCAGAGCACTGTTTCAGGAGTTTATGGCTACCTGCGAGGAACAACAGTGACCTGGGAGCATGGCAGCAACATTAGTTATCTATCTTTGAAAGTTGCAAAGAAAGTCCCCATTGAACTCACCTGTCCAAGCGACAGGTAGGTTTAAGCTCGTGTATACCTGTTTTAGGAGCTCAGTAAAAATTGAATGGAAAAGAACTCTCTTAGTGATAAGGGTTAAGCCAAAAAGGCACTTGATATCAATCTTTTGGTAAATAATACTGAGGTTCACCAATAAAGCACATTAAATTTTTTTTTTTTTAATACCAGCAGCCACCTGTTCCTTTCTTTGGCCTGGGTTTCTCCTTCCCATAAAATGAGTTTTACCTGGTACTGCTATTAAATTATCATACTAGTATACTTTGGTTTACTTTGTATTTTAAGCTATGGCTTCATTCCTTAATGGCAGCTGAAGAGGATGGGACGATACACCCGAGGTGAAGAGAATACTTGATGCATCCATTTTTTAATCACATGCTTAGAGACAGAATTCTTTTTTGTCAACACATCCCAAAATGACACTTCCCTGGGTCTTTTGGCTAATTCCATCCATGTTCCTACCTGGTATCCAGAGTCATTGCAGGTCATGTAGCATTTCCCACAGTTAATGCACATTTCTTCGTCAATCAGAGCCACAACTTGCTCTACTTTGCTAAGTTCATCATATGTTCCAATGTACTGCAGTGCTTTCCCAATTATGTCCTAGAAATATAAAGCATTGACTCACTTGGAATGTACATTTTTGGGTGTTTTCACATCTAAATGAACATCACTTTGAGTTTTAACATAATGTCACTGGTTAGTAACACAGAAGGTTTGGGCTGTTGTACTTCAGATTGCATGAAGCAGATAAAATATGTTAATGCTCATAAAAAATCAGAATGTAGTTATAGCTAAATCTCTCTGTCTTCTGTAAAATGGGCCACCTACATATCTAGCTTGGAATAATGTGAGCTCATTGCACTGGATAGATATTCTTCTGTGTTATCTTGACCAGTAACCCAGGTCTCCCTTGGAGGAGAGAGGACACTTTAAGTAACCAAGAGGAAAGATAAAGAATGATGGCTAATGTTTTCATATCTGAATACTTTAATGGACATTTAAGTACATAGAAAAACAGATAGATGAGAATAGGGAGGAAATGCTATATGTGTGAATGTTATAAATTTATTTCACTGTGTTTAGATTCTAATTTTCATTTAGCACAGCTATCTGGCAATACACCCACCTGTCACATCTTGTTGCTTAATTATCCAATTCTAGAAGAATATATTTCACTATTAAAATATTCTAATTTATGATAATAAATTAGGCCGATCCAATAGTCAGATCAGATGTGCTTTTACATTTAAAGAACTAGGTTTTTCTTCTTTCACGGCTGAGGATTTCTAGGCTGTTACACATTGCTTTGTTCTTCATATTAATTGGAAGTGTGCTTAATATGTAGAGCACAGATGATATTTCATCAACAATAAAACATACTTTGTTTCATAAAACAAAACAGGCGATTGTAACGATGTTTGTCAATGCAGGGCCCTGTCAAGATTTTCTGCTCTTGTTCTTAGCTTTTAAGAACAGATTCTTTAGTTTGTATTCAAGGTCCATATTCCAGGATGCGTGATTTTAGCTTAAAACAAATGGAAAATGGTCATCTTGACGCATTCTCTCTGTTTTGTTTTTTTTCTTTTTACAGGGTTCTTCGCTCTTCTCTCATTGCTTTGACTCATCTCTTACTATTTCTTTTGAATTGTAAATGACCCTTTAGCATTCCCAGGACCAGCAACAATACAGCTTTCAAACTAAAAATTGATCAATACTTATTAACCACCTATTATATCTCAAACATTGTGTTAAACCCTGTGAATGTAAATAAAAATAATAAGAACAACAATGCTAATAATAGCTAATATTTACGTGGTCCTCTGGATTTGTAAGGACCTTTATGTATTTATCATATATTGGCCTGACCAACCATAGTCAGACACACTATACCTTGAACCTGATGGAGTGATGTCATTTTGGTCCTTTTTGAGCACGGACAGCCACCAATGTATACATGTGTATGTGCATGTACACACATATGTTTATGTATATATACAAATACATGTGATAGCTAGCATTTGTATAGTACCTTAAGGTTTGCAAAGCATTTTAAATATGTTATATCTCATTTGATTCTCACAACAACCCTGTGGGGTGTAACTGTTATTATTATTCCTATTTTATCTATGAAGAGATATTGAGGCTCTGGGAGTTTAAGTAACTTGCCTAGGGGTTAAAAAGCTAAGTAACTGAGGCAGGACTCAGATCTTCCTGAATTCAAATCCAATACACTATCTACTGTGCTACCAAGCTGCCTAAAATAATCCCTCCTCTCAAGGAGCTTCCATTCTAATCCAATCCAAACCCTTGTTTCTTTAGGGAGAAGAGGGTTTAATTATTATATAACAGTGATTTCCAACCTTTCCCTCCAGGGCTAAGGATAACCATGGCTAAAACTTCATCACCCAGTAGCCACCAGTTGTAGGTGATAAGCCTCTGGTTAACTACCGTGGTTCTTGGACAGTAGATATAATAGTTCCTTACCAGGACTATAGCCAAAGTCTCTTCACCTTGGAAGACCCTACTAGAACTCACAATTGCCTTGCCATAGCTTGCAAGAACCTAACAAGATCACCTCTACATCACAGGCATGGTATGGGACTTTGGTGGCAATGTTTACCAAAGGTGTCTGCCAGTGCCATGCAGGAGGCACAAAGTCCAATCGCAGGAGGAAGTTCTTAAAATTCCCAATCAATCAATCAACTGACGAAAGTTTGTCTGGCATTGTACTGATTGTGCTTAGCTCTAGAAAACACTGGATTTTCCCCACTGAGATCCATGATCACTTGACAGAGGACAGCCTTGTCATATAGAGCAAAAGGTTCAACAAAGAATGCACATTGCTTGGATTATGATATTTAGTTGTGTATAAGTACTGGGATAAAAGACATCATCAAAGAAATCTCATGCTTAACAAGTCCAAAAGTCCAAAAGAATTTCCTTGCAAAAAGAAGTACGGTGTTGTGAACAGGGAATTGTCTAGAAGGACCTGGTTTCCCCTTTGACATTTAATGGGTATGTGTCCCCACGCAAGTCACAGAAACTTTTAACACTCTAGTCCAGTGCTTCGTAAACTGTGGATTGCTACGATAGTTTAAGAAGCACTGAAGGGGTCTCAAGTGGAAAAAATTTAAGAAGCACTGCAGTCAACTCATTAAGACAAGAAGTTGCATGAAGGGTACTGACTTGAAGTGGTAGTGGGAGTCTCTTCACCTAGAACCTATCCCTCCTCTTCCTCTTCCGTTAAACCTTTCCTTAATCTAAACATTCCCATTTCTGTGAAGGCACCACCATCATCCCAGTCACTTGGGTTGAACCCCTGAACTCAACCTCAACTCTTCTCTTTCTCTCCTCCCGCCATATTTAATCAGTTGCCAAGTTTTGTTAATTCCACCTTCAAAACACTCTTGTATTTGTCCTCTTCTCTGAACACCACCCTAGTCCAGGCCTTTATCACTCCTCATCTTTAGCTATTGCTATAGCCTCCATTTATGGTCTCTGTGGCTCACATCTTGGTTTTCCAATTCATCCTCCACAAAGCCACCAAATCAATATTCCTAAAGCACAGGTGTGACCAGGTCACCCCCCCCCCGCCAATATATTTCTTTTCGCTCCCAATTGCCTTTATGATAAAACAAAAGCACCACTTTTTGTCATTTAAAGCTCTTCACAATCTGACTCCAACCTATCCTTTCAGATTGATTTCACATTATTCCCCTCTGTGCAGTTGACATTCAAGCCAAACTGACCCGGTGTGCTGTTCGCTGTACACAACATTCTATCTCTTGCCTCTAGGCTTTGCTCAGGCTGTTCCTCATGTGAGGAATTCTGTCCCTTCTCATCCTGCCTCTTAAAGTCTCTAGATCCCTTCAAAACCCACTTCAAACAGCATCACTTTTCCTGCTTCCTTTAGTTCTTATTGCCCCCTGAAACTAGTTTGTTTCTTTGGTATATGTGTATATGTTGTTTTCACCCAATAGAATGTAAACTCCTTGGGGGAACAGTGTATTGTCTTCATCTCTGTACCCTTAGTGCTCATTAGCACAGTGTCTGGCACAGAGTAGGCATTTAATAAAATTATGCTGAGTTGAACTGAAATGTGCCTGGAGGTTTGTTAAACAAAGATGATGAGAACGTATTGTGATCACAATCTGTCAGACTTTGATTAATATTTTCCAATAACCTTGTGGAATAAATACAAGAAATGACTCTTTGGCTATGAAAGGCTATGCCTGATTGATGACAAAACAACCTGTCATTTCAGTAAAGACATCGGTCAAAACAGTCATTGGCTGAACTGGCCCACTGTTTGAAATGATGAGTTGATTTAGTCAAAATGATTACACAGGTTACCCCACTGACAGTGTCATGAGCAGTATAGGGTTTTGTCAGAGAAGAGAACCAGCGTTTCCAGCTCCCTTTCCTGAAGGAAGTAGTTACAGAAGCACAGAATTTTAAAGTGTAAGAAGGGACCTTAGCAGCCATCTAGTCTACCTCATACCTGAAAAAAAAATCCTTACTACAATACCACTGACAAGTGGTCATCTAGATTTTGCTTGAAGCTGTCTAGTGATGGAGAACTCATTAGCCCTTGAGGCACACTATTCCACCTTTAGACAGCTCTAATTGTCATAATTGTTTTTCCTTATATCAAGCCTAAATTTACCTCTTTACACTTTCCACTTCCTGGAGCTATCCATGAAGAACAAGCAAAGAAGTGTAATCCTTTCTATATATGAGTCTTTCAAGTACTTGAAGACATTTATAATGTCCCTCCTGAATCCTTCCTCTCTCTAAGCTAATCATTCCCAGTTCTTTCAGCCAATCCTCATATGACATGGACTCAAGGCTCTTCACTATTTTGCTTGTTCTCCTCCCCTCTGGGCATTCCCCATCTTACCAGTGTCCTTCCTAAAATGTGGTATGTAGAATTGAGCACAGTGCTCCTGGTGCGGTTTGACTAGCTCAGAGTAAAGAAGGATTATTACCTCTTTGTGCCTAGAAACTACTCATATCAGTGTACCCTCCAAACACATTAACTTTTTGGAGTGCTGTATCACTCTACTGTCTCATAGTGAACAATCCACTTAAAACCATAGATCTTTTTCAGACAAACTGTTGTCTAACCATGTCTCTGCCATTTTGTATGTGTGAAGTCAGTTTCTTGAATTCAAGCTTAAGACTTTACATTTATCCCTATTAAATTTCATCTTATTAAATTCATCCCAATGTTCTAGCTAGCCTGTCAAGGTCTTTCTGGATCCTGACTCGGTCAGCCTGTGTTAGCTGTCCCTCCCAGCATTGTGTCACTGGCAAATCTGATAAGTGTGCCACCCATGCCTTTATCCAAGTCATAGATGAAAGTGTTAAACTATACAAAGCCAAGGGCAGATCTCTGGAGCATTTATTGCAGACCTCCTTCTATGTTTATATTGAACTGCTAGTGACTACTAATGGTCCTATGCTGCCTGAGGAGGCAAACTTTCCTCAGATTTAGAGCAGAGTTTGAGAAAATAAATTACTAAAAACATTAGAATGAAATGTGAAATTAAATGGGCTAAAAACATTTGGAGTCTCTAGCTCTTATAGTTGTGTGATAT